GGCGGGGGCGGTTTGTTTGTTTTTTTTTTTTCTGGTACCGGGAATTGCGCTGTGCCTCTGAGCTAAATCCCCAGCCCCTAGTTGTTTTTTTTTTTCCCAGCCCCTAGTTTGACATTTTAAACAAATTAAAAATCTGATACGAAAGTGAGTCAAGACATTTTATATGAAGTCCTGTGTTTTGAACATGGCGATCACTACATCAGTGCAGCTGTTAAACTGCTGCGCCGACTGTACACCCTACCGCTCTTCCCGGTCCCCTCTTCCCCTCCCCCCGCGTGGTCTGTTCTCCGCTGTAGGCTCAGCGATGGCTTCCAGTCTGTACTCCGCACAGGCTGGCAATCAACAATGAAACCTCAGTACTGAACACTTACTGTGCGCCCGACATATCACGTGAGCAACTCACAACACCCTGGAGGCCAGCACTGTTCCCGTCCCACTGTGCAGGTCAGGAACCAAGTGCGGAGGGACGGGGCGTCCGGGAGGTCGACCAGTACGCGCTGCGGCGCGGGCCCGAGCTGCACGCCGGGGCAGCCGGAGGCGGAGGGGCAGCTCCGTCCCCAGGAAGCGAAGCACCACTAGTGCCAACGGAAAAACCCTCCGAGGGACTTGCTCCGAATGTCTGCTTAAAGTGATTTTTTTTTTTTTTTCCGGTACCGGGAATCGAACTCACGACCTCGCGCTTGCCAGGCCGGCGCTGTGCCGCTGAGCTAAATCCCCAGCCCCTTTAAAGTGAATTTTCAAAAACGTCAGCACTCCTGAGCTCTCCAAGCTCCGGCACCCCGGCCACATGGAGCCTTAGAAGAGGACCTGGACGGACGCGTGGCTTGAGCTGCGTCATCCGCATGGCCCGCACTCAGTGCTCTAACCTATCAGCTCGCAGCCTTCTCAGAGGCCGGGAAAGAACCTGACCCAAGTCCTCAACGCCCACAGCCGACCCAACACTCGCTCTGCCACGCCGGGACCGGAGAGCGGCCCGCCGCCCCGCCCCGGCATGCACCGCGGGCGCTGCGACCACGCCCCCCGGCAAGCTCGAGAGCGCGTGTGCG